CTGGTGTTAGATCTGTTCGAGACCTAGGCCAAGGTTGAGTGACGCGACAAGCCAAAAGACGGAATAGAACCAGGTACGATGGATTTACTAGCGTCCAATAAAAGCGGTAAATAATGGTTACATCACAATCACAGGTACAAACCTCAATTTGTGGCCTTCTCACAGAGTTTTCATCGATCAGTCAATCGATCTAGGCTGTTACAGATAGCAGCAACTTGGGCCAATTAGGCGGACAAAACCTTCGGTGGTCGAACGAAACAAAACTGGCCGGACGAAGCATAAACACCGAGTGATAAGGGTAGACACATGACCGACTATCACGAGGACTGTCCAATCACAGTCGGGGCACAAAGTCTAATCGATAAATGCGGTCAATAAGCGACCAAGAGCAATGCAGACTAGGAACATTAGGAGGAACCGGTAAAACAGATTCAACAACTGGGATCCATTGAATCAGATGAACTCACGTGTTCCACATGCAAGAACGCTCGGCCGTCCATCGTTATTTTGACGTTCGACTCTAGTGCCGAATGTAGTGAAATACCTGCATAGAACCCAACAGTGCAGTTAAGTACTGTTCACAATGCATGTCCGTCTCCACTCTAGCGTTTATGGGGCAGACGGTTGAGGGTGTACCGACTGACTGACAAGCCTCACTCGTTGTTATGATAATGCAATCGTTCTCATTGATTGGAGAGGATGGTATCAACTGTTGGCGGGCATCTGGAAGAAAATCGGGACTTGTGAAATAATTTGGACTGAATGAAATTCATGGTGAACATTGGCAGCAGTTGTGAAAAATGTTTGCAGATATGGGGAATTTTCGTAATCGAAAGGTAAGATAAAGTTCACTTGGTATTCTTTCTTGGTTGGTTTTTGGGTAAAATGTCAAAAAGGGATTAATCGGATTTAAAACTGTAGGACCACGATATATATATATATATATTTATGTGGAACTGCGTCATTGGAAGTCGGAAGTCTTCAATATAAGTGGCAACGGACCACGAGATGACGTAAGTTAATGATAATGGTTGATTGAAACGCTCTCCACAAATGTTGGGCAACAGAGAATTCTGTGGCTATCACGAGGATATGTTTAAGTTTCATAAGCACGGGCTATTGGAATCTGTTGTTTTGCGCCAAGACCCGTGATCCCAATCGCGTTCAAAGTAGATCCACATAGATGTTACACCTTTTAATACCTCCGAGAAGTTCCCATTTGCGAGGTATGACGTGAATTAATTCCTATAACTAGAGAAACTATTTTTTTTTTATCATTGATTACCAGCGCATCAACTTCCATCGTATAAGGCGGGTTGTCCAGCACAGAGTCCAAATCATGGCGAATTCCAGTTGATGTATGATTGCTAGTGGTTGCACCGAGATTTTGGCGGTCAACCGATGAGGATTGCGATTTGAATACCATGTGGGTACACGTGAAGAACAACACCATCCGACTCGTGAGCACGTTTGCTACGTCAGAATTATTCCGTACATGAAATGGTCCGAATTTACTCCAAAGCTCACGGTAGAACGACAATCTCAACAACCAAGGATGACCGAGGAACAGGTCAGCATATTTGTGGGACCTTACACATCGGGATATGTTGCACAGGAACCCAATCCAGATAGAATTGCATTCAGGACTCTCACTCTCTTCCATCGTATTTTCCGGAGTTTGATCTCCTCAACGAGTAGTTTTTACTGAAAAACGGAACAACAATCAGTCTTCTGATGCGGACGACATCTACCCCAAGGAAGACCTCGAAATCATGATGTTCATTGTGTAACGCAGCCCAATCAATCATGATCAAATCCCCACCGACTGGAATTGTGCATTGATATCGTCTCTGTTTACCATTGGTTCGAGAGCTGATCTATCGAACTACCGTCCGGTCAGTTTGACATGCACTTGATGAATAGGACTGGAACGATTAATTTTTCACAAACTGCGAAACCATCTGAGGGATTATCACGTGCTTAGCAACCAACAGTCCGATTTTTGCTCTTAAATGTCCTGTCTGTTGTACATTTTACTAGTCAGAGAATAACGGCGTGCCGCTAAATCTAGTCTATTTGCCTCGGTCATCTTTTACATGAACTTCAGCAACGCTTTTGACAGTGGTCAGCACAACCACCTGCTCTTGAATTTACAAAGTTTTGGGGTTGCAAAACCACTGCTAACTTGGGTAAAAAACTGTGAGACTTTAAGGCGTTTTCCAGTCAAGATCCGGAATCCAGTGTCTACGTGGCAGGAGGTGTTATGTGGTATACCTTCAGGTACAGTTTTTGACCGTTCTGTTCCTGCTGTTCAAACCAATTTCTGAGACAAATACATTCACCCTGTCTAGTTTATGTTGATAATCTGAAGCTATGCAGGCCATTCCCATCACCAAAGGGAATTGGTAGAATCGTAAACCGAATTAGATCGACTGTCTGATTGATCTGTCGAGTAGGCGCATCCGATGAAATTTACACCGCACACTGAAAACGTTTGTACATCCGCCTGGAGTAACCTTGTAGCACCTCGCCGCTCTACTGGATCGCTGTAGAAACAGGCATTTCAACTTATGTATTATTTTATTTGCATAGCTTGGGTTAGCTTACATGCTTACATTTCAGTTAAAAATGTACAGAGTTCGTCACATGTATGTGCTATTCGTTTTTGTTTGGAATACAGTGGGGCAGTGGCGTGCCCTACAAACTGTGGAGACTTGGCCAAAGTAAAGGAAGTATAAAGAGCTTCCACACGTCCAGTTTTTTGCCTCGCTGGGTGCAGTCACACCCATGTGCTCGTCATCACGAACCTGAATATAGAGAGCTACTGAAAAATTCGTTGCGAAATTTTACTAACTAAGTAAATCTTTTGAGGCTATCTAAGGAATAGCTGCAATAGACCTTCCCCATGAAGAACGATACAAGCGCGCGGTCGTTGTTTGATGCTTTTGAAACTAGAACGAAACCAACTATCGTTCACGTTTCTCCTTTCGAGGAAAGTAATCAAAATTTGAGATGATCTCTTGGGGATTTCGGTAGAAACGGTGATTTTAACGATACCTTCAAGGGGCAACTAGATGATTTCCTTCTAAAAAAGCAGCAAGCTGATGGGAAGCCCGCCAGGACCCAGTGCAGACAAAGGTCCTGCAGGACGAATCACTATTGCTTTGAATTCCACAAGGTAAAGGCATGTACCATAGCAATCTATTGTAAAATTTGCTATATATTTGTAGATGAATTCAGGTAAATCGTTCACAACGACATCGTTTTAATTGCCGAAAATCAGTACTACTTTATCAAGACAGTTCTGCACACAACCATTTAAAAGCAATAATTATCACAGAGCATTCAACAAATGAGCCTGTTTTGCTTTACCGCATGCACATTTTCAGTCGTTCCATCTGTTCTTTGATACAGATACTCTTTATATAGTTGATCACAATTGTATACACTGCCCGCATGATTCCAAAGCAAAACAATATCAGTCGATTGAAATTACAAATGTGCATAATCCTCCGAATTCTTTGGCAGTATCATGTAGTGCGTGTTGTCGTATCCTTTAATCGTTTGGAAATCCACCACTGTGTGTAAACCAGTTCACACATCAACGTAGATTGTATAAATAGCTGTGGTACGCATCGATGGAAACTATAAAAATTCGAGTTTATATAGCCTCAACCACGGTTACTCGAGTTTATTTCGACGTGTACTCTTTTCCGTCTGATGACCACTAGTAATCCAAAACTACTTGATTCCATTAATGAATATTTTCAACTGGTTAATTCATCTTGCTTTCAGCTGTACAGTTTGAAATCATAAAATATGCTATCTACCTCGCTACCGGGTAGCTGACGAGAAATTTAATCAAATCCTCCAATACTCACATGAATAGGTATGTAAGTTGTGAATGTTTCCAACCGAGTCATAACCCTCGAGGCCAATGCTGAGATGAGCATGGTCTGGCCCGCAACAAGCTCACAAAAGTGGGTTGTGCTATATCGTGTAAATGGGAAGTGAAAAACGGTCTAATCAGCTGACCGGCGGCGTGGTGGGTAGCATGCTGGCGTTACACCCATGAAGTCCCGGGTTCGCCAGTGGGGTCGATGGATTCGCACTGCTGATGAGACCCAACCAAGTCGAAACAGCTGTCCAGTGCTCCCTACCTCTTCAGTTCACGCTTCATTTGCCATATGCACGACGAATTCCCAGTAGAAATTCAATCAGATCCTCCATTTTTTTTAAATTTTTTTATTACACACCTAGGTGTGATGAACAGCAGACGGGGTCAACCCCATAGTCACGAGGACCTGCTGTTCAGTGTTTGAAATCGGCAACCTAAGCCCCGGAACTTGGAG